CAAGAGACAAGCTGGGCGCGTGGCTACAGAGCTCCATGCCTCCCCTGAATCCCGGATGCATGGCTACAGTGAGCGCCGCTAGGCGGCCGCCGGCCCGCACGATGCGGCACTGTAGCCATGGCGCTCCCGGCGTGGCCTCCGTCAGCTCGTACGGCGTAACAGTGAAGAGCCGTCAATGGGATCTCTAGAAGGGGAAACTGTTGAGGCCCTTCGACTGCTGAAGCCGTAGAACCTCACCAGTTTCGGGGACTACTGTCGGGGGGATAGACCTCGGGTAGCCTAATCAACACTTAACCACATTTCAAGACATCGGGACTGATCAAGCCCCTCAGTCCGACTGGTCGCAAGGCCGGCCTCTCAGGCCGGACGGAACTAGAGGGCCGCTTCCTAGAGGGCGACGGACCCCAAGCACGTGGCTGCAACCAGAGGGCTGCTTCCTAGAAGGCGGCAGACCCCAAGAAGATAGCGTGCTCCAGAAGGCGAGGACACGGGCCGGCTCCTAGCAGGCAGCCTGTCCCCTCCCTCGGAGTCTGAGCCCGACCAAGAGACAAGCTGGGCGCGTGGCTACAGTGCGCCATGCCTCCCCTGAATCCCGGATGCATGGCTACAGTGAGCGCCGCTAGGCGGCCGCCGACCCGCACGATGCGGCACTGTAGCCATGGCGCTCCCGGCGTGGCCTCCGTCAGCTCGTACGGCGTAACAGTGAAGAGCCGTCAATGGGACCCATAGGCGGCGGGCCCCACCTGTCGGCCGGTTCCTCAGCAGCCGGCTAAAAAGGGGGGACCCAGCAGCCGGCGGAGAACCCGGCCTCCATAGACACTGACATCCGGGACCTGCCATCCGGCCAAATTACCTTTGTACCCGTGGGCGTAGGCCTATATAAATCCCCCAGGCTCACCCATGCAAGGGGTTCAGACTTTAGTCCCTCCACACCATAGCTACGAGAGAAGAGAGCTAGCCTTGCCCTTCTTCCTCTAGACGAACAGCTCGAGGAGCACTCTTGTAGCCACTCTATTGACGATAGTCATCATGCGGAGGCCCCACAGAGCATGATTAGGCCTTGTACAATGGGAGGTGCTTAGAGAGATGCTTAAAAAAATAAACCGGGTTTTTCAAAGCATCGCTGCCTATTTCTACAGGAGAGACGCTTAGCTAAGCGTCTATCTTGTACAAATAATCACTGGTGCTTAAGAAAAGTCTGGTTTATTTCTCTAAGCACCTCCCCTAAACACCTCCCATTGTACAAGGCCTTAGGGGTGTTATCTCCACGGAAAGTCCCGAACCTGAGTAAGACTCGTCGCCATCCGAGGTCTCGCCTACTCCCGCTTCTAGAGCCCGCAACGTTTTTCTATCCCCATCTATGATAAGCCACCCCCGGCATATGTCGCGAGAATACCACGACACCATGTGCCAAAAATATACTTCTATTATGTACAGTACGTACGTACGTATATTATGCTGCATGTACTCGTACATTTTACAAACTGAAAATCTATGAGCGAACCCATGACAAACAAATCCACACAATATATGTGCTCCCGCTCCATGTCTGAAATCACAGTCCGAACAAGATGGCGGCACGACTCCGCGACTCCGCCACGCTGCTCCCGTCCCTCGTCGGGGCCTCCTCCTCCCAGTCCCGCCTCCGCGAGATCCACGCGCACCTCCTCGTCTCGGGCCGCCTCGCCTCTCCCTCCCACCGCGCCGACTTCGTCGCCTCCCTCGCCTCCTCCGACCACCTCTCCTACGCGCGCCTCCTCCTGCCCCAGCGCCCGGCCACGCTACTCGCCCACAACGGCCTCCTCCGCGCCCTCGCCCGCGGACCATGCCCCCGCCTCGCCTTTGCGGCCTTCCGCGAGCTCCCCCTCGCGCCCGACCACTACTCGTTCACCTTCCTCGTCCGCGCCGCGACCTCCCTGGCCGCCGCCGCCTCCTCGGCGACGCCCGTGCCCACCGATGTTGCCGTGTGCCTGCTCGCTGGCTCCGTGCACGCGGCGGCGTTCCGCCACGGCCATGCAGCGGACCTGCACGTCCAGAGCGGCGCCGTATCCATGTACGCGGCGGTGGGGGACGTGGGCGCCGTGCGGGCCGCCTTCGCGGAGATCGTGAGCCCGGACGTGGTGTGCGTCACTGCAATGTTGGGCGCTCTCTCAGCCGGAGGCGATGTTGACACTGCGCGCGAGCTGTTTGACAGAATGCCGCAGCGGGACCATGTCGCCTGGAACGCCATGCTCACAGGTTATGTGCGCGTGGGCAAGGCAAGGGAAGCCTTGGGGCTGTTCGACGAAATGCAGAAGGCTGGGATTTCTGTCGGTGAGGCGACGCTGGTGTCAGTGCTCACTGCCTGTGCACAGATGGGTGCACTAGAACGTGGCATCTGGGTGCACTCCTATGTGTGCAGCCGTGGGATGCGGGTGTCGGTCACACTGGGCACTGCTTTGGTGGATATGTATTCCAAGTGTGGGGTTGTCACGATGGCGATGGAGGTGTTCGAGAGCATGAGCGAAAGGAACATCTACACCTGGACCAGCGCGCTGAGTGGCCTCGCGATGAATGGCATGGGGGAGGAGTGTCTTGAGCTGTTCAAGCGTATGGAGAGCGCGGGCATGGAGCCTAATGGTGTCACATTTGTCGCGGTGCTCCGTGGATGCTCTGTGGCTGGGTTGGTAGAAGAGGGACGAGCATGCTTTGATTCGATGAAGGATAAGCACAAAGTTGAGCCTTGGCTTGAGCACTACGGCTGCATGGTTGATTTGTATGGTCGAGCAGGGCGTCTGGATGATGCTGTCAACTTCATCAATTCTATGCCAGTGGAGCCACATGAAGGTGTCTGGGGAGCGCTACTCAACGCTTCTCGGATTCACAACAACGTCGATCTGGGCAAACACGCAATGTACAAGCTCATGAAGATTGAGTCCAAAAATGATGCGGCTCACGTGTTGCTGTCTAATATATACGCGGAGTCGCACAACTGGAAGGGCGTCAGCAAAGTTCGGAACATGATGAAGTCTAAGGGAGTGAAAAAGGTGCCTGGGTGTAGTGCCATTGAGGTTGATGGCAAGGTGCATGAGTTCTTCGTCGGGAGCAAGTCTCACCCCAGATACAAGGATATCGAGACCATGCTTGCAGGTATGAGCCATAAGCTGAGGTTGCAAGGGTACGCCGCAAACACAAAAGAGGTACTGTTCGATATCGAGGAAGAGGAGAAAGAAAGTGCGATCTCCTTGCACAGTGAGAAGCTTGCCCTCGCCTTCGGTCTTATCACGTTGCCAGAAGGCACGGTGATTAGGATCGTGAAGAACTTGAGAGTGTGCAAAGACTGCCATGATTATACCAAGATGATATCTAAGGTCTTCGACAGGGAGATTGTTATGAGAGATAGGAATAGGTTTCACCATTTCAAGCATGGAGCGTGCTCCTGTAGGGATTACTGGTGATTTTCTTTTGTAACTGTTCCCGTGCAATTTTGATGATCCATTCGCAATCAATGATTCAAAGGTAGCACTCAGATCCATCTGCAAGAATAAGAGTAGAGATATTTTCCTCCCTGCATCCCGCCACAAACTAATATAGTTCAAAAGGAAAAAGAGTTCACAGGATGATCTGGTTTTGAGCGCGTTCCTATTGGGTGGAGAGAGGCTGGGAAGATTCAACATATATATAGTTCAGGTACCATGGCACATCTTGGTACATCCGGCTTTGATCATGTCTCAAGTAAATAAGAAAGGACGCTAAGCTGTGGTGCCACGAGTTTGCCTGAGCATATGATATGGCCAATCAGGGGAATCCAGCGAGAACAAGAAAGCTATATCGGCCAAAATGCCAAACTGGCAGGTGTACAGCCGCAGCTGGCATCCCACGCCAGAGCTTCGTGATCTTCGGCAGGCCAGGCAGCAAAGCAAGCCATGATACAGGCAGATAGAATTTTGATAACTGAATTTAGCACTGATAGAGGAGAGAAGAAATAATTTAGCAGTTAAATTTCTCGTTAAAGCACCATCAAGGGTCAGTGAACAAAATCTTCACAGAAACAGAGTGCACACCAGTTTGTTCGGCTACATTTATTCATGCACACTTGCTACAAGCAAAAATGCCACACTGGCAAACCGCGTCGTGTATATGCTAAACATAAGGTCAAATATAAGTGATCTATAAGATGCATTTGTTCTGAACATTTACATGTAGTATGTCACTGCCCAGTACATCTCCAACATTGACGGCAAACTGGAAGGAGGGGCCAAAAGTGTGCTTGCCATTAGTAACCTGTCAAGTGCGTCTAGGTTAAAATTCCATGGAAGAACCAAGACAAACTTAATTTCAGATAACCAAATATGAAAATACGAAGTTGAACTGTTGAAGCACATAGCATCCCATAGTTAGTCAAGGAACGACATCAATTTTGTAGCAGAAATACACAGAATCATGAATGATGCCCAGGCTATTCTCAACATGAAGCTGTTTTTCTTAGCGTTCCACCCCAAAATATAAGGTGCACACGCAATTTGAGGTTAAGGCGGACCAATAATTAGACATAGGACTCTCGACTCCACTACCCCAACCAATTGAGCTAGGTCACTTCCTTGTTGTCAAAGAAAAAAGAAGAGCTAGGGTGACTTCCTGTTTTTGTGTCATATAAAACCATGTGTCGTTGGTCCAATGGTCAGTGTAACCTATATCTTGGAATGTGTGCATGCCTTACATTTTGGCATGAAATGAGTGGTAATTAGGGGTAACTAAGGATGGATACTTCATTTTTCTTTTTAATCAGAAGCATTTGAGTATTTTTGCTTTGTACCAGATCTCAAACTGCACAGGCACAACATCTAGTTGATACTATCACTGATAATCTAGGGCAGAACTCTAAAGCATAATTGCATTCTATGGCCGATATTGTCACTGTCTATCGGCCTACATGTTATACCTATTACAATTCATTTACTGAGTAGCATCAGTTTTGACAGTAAAACAGAGGACCAAAGAGTGAAACTGTTGCTACCTTCTCAGGAGGACCAGCCAATCTTCTTCATGACATCCCTGGTTCTCTTCCGGAGCCTCATGAACACAATGACCATGCAAGCCAGCACCCACGGTGGGAATTTCAGGTTGCCTAGCTTGGTTCCCTTAAGCCACTCGGGCATCTTCGCCTCCTTCAGTATCACCGCAGCTACCACTGTCATGGCGCAGACAGTGAGCATCACCTTGGTGATGGGCTTCAGCAAAGGATCCTAAATCACCAAAGAGACAAACACGGCACATGAAGACTTGCTAACTATGAGTAGACCTGGCGGACATCACAGCAGACAAACTGCGCGAAATTTCACAGGGGACTGGGAATCGCGACTTACCTTGGGCTCGCCGTCGAGGAAGATGGTGGAGTCGGCGGCGTAGGGGAGGAGGGAGCGGCCGTTGCGGGGGTTGAATCGGATGGCGACGCCGCGTGCGCGGGAGGCGGCGTCGAAGGCGAAGACGCACTTGAGGCCGTGCTTCTCCAGGATGTCCCCCACCTCCAGCTGGTCCTGCGTGTACCCGCCCAGGGGTGACCGGAACACGGCCACCGGCCCCTGGCCCCGCCGGAAGAGCTGCACCTCCACCTCGGGTGCGGCCGCCGGCTCGGATCCGGGCCTCCCGTTCTGGGCGGAGGCCGGCGACTCCTCGTGGATGCCGTCGTCGACCGGCGCCGCGGCCTTGTCGGCTTGCTTCTCCATTGGCTTGCTCGATCGGGCTCAGGGGAAGGCGAAAAGGGAATCTGCCAATCTGTGCCTCGCGCTGTAGCCGGGAATTGGGCTGCTTATAGGAGGCGAATCTACGGTTACCAAAAACAAAAATAGGCAAGTTCTAGGCAAATCTCTTCACCGGGGCACCGGGCCAGGCCCCAGAAAGGAAGGCCCAACACTCGTGAAACAAAGAGTATCGAATCGAATTACAAGAGCGGTGGTTTCATACTGTTGGAGAAGTTTTTTTTTTTCTTTTTTTTTTGCGAAAATGTTGGAGAAGTATTTTGAAGGTAAGGTGAAAAAAAGAAGTATTTTGAAGGGAGTACACGTGCTGAAAAGTGGAACTATATGGAGAGTAGGAGATGGAAGCATCGGAAAGTAAATTTGGCTGTGCATATTCTCTCTATATATTTTTATTTTGGAGTTCCCACAAATCCTGAAATATTTCATGGATATAAGTTATGACATATAATGTGCATCTGCAGAAACTCATAACAAAATATAACATCTTGTGAACTCTACAAAAAAGACAAATATATCATGTGCATGCTATCCAATTGGTATGAATCTTGCCATTTTTTTTAGTGTAGGTCACAAATGGTTATATTATTGGATGTTTTTTACAAGTCACATGACATATTATTACTAACATCTACTCCCTTCATCCCATAATATAAGAACATTTGTGACACTAGTGTAGTGTTAAAAACGTCTTATATTTTTTTGGGACAGAGGGAATAAGAATTACTCCCTCTGTCCGGAAATACTTGTCCTAGAAATGGATACTGAAAATATTTGTCCTAGAAATGGTTGTATCTAGACTTATTTTAGTTATATACATCCATTTTATCCATTTTTAGGACAAGTATTTCCGGACGGAGGGAGTATTTAACATTTTCTAGAAATCAGGATAAAATAAAAAGGAGGGGAAAGAATGTGGGTTGCGCGGGCAACTAATTGCACAAAACCAGTGTAACATCTCAGCAAAGGCAGCCATATTTTTGCTAAGGTTTCAGATTTGATTGACCCTACCTCTAGCACAGCGGATATACAACAGCTCCGATCGACTTTTAATGAAGATGTACATGTCACTCTCCAAATTCCGATCCAGGAAGGTGCTGAAGATACACCAGCTTGGACAACCAAGCCAGGAACTCTGCACACGATGTAGCTTCGTCATCAAGTGATAGTGTTCAAAGGGAGAGCGTATTTTGGAAGAAACTGTGGACTTTTTACCCCTGCCCAGCATAATCTTTCACCTTTTATGACCACTAACCCGTAATAGCGTACGTCTAAGAATGAAACTGCGGAAAAGAGGAATTGTAGCAGATACACTATGCCCAATATGTTGTTAATTAGACGAAGGCGGAGGTCATTGCTTTCTAAAGTGCAAATTTGTCACGGTTATGGCTTCCTAAAGTGCAAGTTTGTAAGGTTATTTGGAGAACTGCTTTTTTGGAAGTGTCATATGAAACTTATCAATTGCCCAAATGCCACCTCAGTGATGGAGGATATTCTGAAAATAGAGCAGGCAAAATGTCTGGAAGTTTATATTCTTGTGGTTATTGTGATTTGAAAGAAACGAAGCTAGTCAAAGAGAAGGGATATGACTGCATATGAGATCATATACTAATTCCAACTGCATATGATGCAACCTCTGTCAGAAAAAAAAATGTGATGCAATCAGCTTTTCAGTCGTGTAAGGTAGGAACTTGCTCACTGGTTTTGTAATATTTCTGCACACTCTTTAGCTACTTATAGTGTATGTATGGAATTGAGAATCTATCAGATTTGGCTTGATACCTTTCCAAGATATGTAAAAGAACTTGTCTGCTGGCAAGTCCAGCTCGTCTAATCAATGGAATGCTTTGTGTTCCTTCCAAAAAAACAGAGCTCTCAGCTTTGAAAAATAAAGGTTCAACAGAGCTCTGAAACTAGCAGGTCTGGATCAGAGTCGGCGCGGTCTAGGAGCAACCCCAAGCCGTGGATGACGTCGTAAATCTCAGCTGATTTTGGGTGGTATGTGTCTTGCACCAGGAACTTGTGCACTTCACCATCAAGCTTTATCCAACTGTAGGCAGACAGCTTCTGCACGTTCTTGCTCCTCATCAGGTCCCTGATCTCCCTCACATCGCCCCAGAGGCCGGCATCGGCATAGATATTGGACAGGAGGACGTAGATTGAGGAGTTGTCAGGCTCCACTGTGAGGAGCTTGCTCGCGGCAAGCTTTGCAAGCTCAACATCAGCATGGGCTCTGCAGGAACTGAGCAGCGTGGTCCAGATCACTGCGTTTGGTTCGACTTCCATGTCGCAGATGAACTTGTACGCCTCCCACAGTCTGCCGGATTTGCACAGGAGGTCCACTATGCATGCACAGTGCTCCACTTGAGGGGAAACATGGTGTTCTCTCTTCATCTCTTCGAAGAATGCCATACCTTGGTCTACCAAGCCAGCATGCGTGCATGCTGCTAGCAGCGCGACGAAGGTGATCTCATTGGGCTGGACTCCATTTTCCGCCATATTTTCATACAGGCTGATCGCATCTTCTGCGAAGCCATTCATTGCTAGGCCTCTGATCATGGAGTTCCATGTGATGACCCCTTTTTGTTCCATCCGGCTGAAGACATTCCGGGCCCTTCCAACATGCCCGCACCTGGTGTACATGTCGATTAGCGCAGATCCTAGGTAACTCGTAAGTGGTAGCCTCTGGTTCTCAGCATAGTTCCCAATCTGCTCAACCAATTCATCAGAACCCAACTGCGCACACGCGGATAGCACACCAACAAGTGTCACTTCATTTGGCCTGCAATCGGTTGCCTTCATCCTCTCAAACAGTTCAAGAGATTCGAGTGGCCTGCCATTCTGCGCATAACCTGCAATCATGGTGCTCCATGCCACGACATCTCTCTCTGACATCTGGTCAAACTCCCGACGTGCGTCGTCGATAGCCCGACACTTTACATACATTTCCATCAAAGCAGTGTGCACTATCACGTTCTGCAAGTCCTCCTCACCGATCAGAGCCCTTACACGCTTGCCAGTATCAAGATCGCCAGACTTGGCGCATATCGAAAACACTGACGTGATGGTGATAGCGTTTGGTCTTGCACCCTCACTCAGCATCCGATCAAACAACATCAATGCTTCCCGGAATTCCCCACCATGAGCATAACAGGCGATCATCGAATTCCACGAAGCGGATGTCCTCCTCTCCATACCGTCAAATAGCCTCCTGGCCTTACCCACATCACCAGATTTCGAATATCCGGTGATCAAACAGTTTATCGGTATCGGATCCTTCACCGGCATCTCGTCAAAGACACTGACGGCAGACTCCATGTCTCCATTCTTGGCATAGAAATCCACCAGAGCTGTCAGCACAAAGACATCCCCAAGCAGCCCACGGACAAGAGCATGGCAGTGCACCTGCCTGCCCTGGCAGGACGAAGCGGTGAGCGCGCACGACTTGAAAACAAGCGGGACGCAGCCGGACGGGACGTCGGCGCCCTTGAGATGAATCGACGAGAAGGCTTGGAGGAGGTCCTGGTGGGAGGAGCTCCTGGAGAGCGCGGAGAGGAAGGTGCTGCAGAACGCCGGGGTCGGGCGCGGCACCGCGTCGAACAGGTTGCGTGCGAAGCGGGAGATGGTGGCGTCTGAGAAGATGGCGTGGAGCGGTCGGGTCTTGAGGAGGCGGGCCTCCATTGCTGGCGGTGGGCGGGGCTCGGCGGAAGATTTGGGTGGGCGGCGGCGGCGGCGGTCAGCGTGGGTGTTTGACGGCTCGACGGGGTGCGGCGGCAAGGCATGTCGTGCTGTGAAAAGGTGAGGCTCGGTTAACTTGTTCAGTTATATGGAAGCGCAGAGTGCAGTTGTGGTCGTGGCGACCTCCGGCGGTCGTGCCGTCGGCGTCACTGATTTGGGTTCGCGAAAGCATCGGCGAGGCGCTGGCCGTGCGTGTGCACAAGGGACCTG